TTTTTTTTTAATGATCTGTAGTTCCTTTTGATACCACTCCAATTTCTTGATTTTTTGGGGGGGATAAAATAAACATTCTAAAATATGTATTTGTGAAACAGCCATTATGAGTTGCATCTCACAAATATTTATTGTCACCGATTATGCAAGTAGGTTGACTAGGCTTGAACTTTGTTCCCAATTGAACAACTCTTACAATGATAATGAGTTGCTAAATAATCTTGCAATAAAATGAAAAATAAAAGAAATGAAAATTCAGCTTTCATTTTTGTTAATAAATCAAACGAGAAAACCTGTATAAGGAACCAAAAAACATGTCCAGCTTCTTAAATCAAACAATAGGCCTATAGTTATTGCATTGAGCTCAGTAATGAGCTTGCACACTGAAACTAAAACTACACCCAACCCACTTCCACATCATCCTGATCAGGATGTGACCAGGAAAGTCTACATCATCTGTTTGCATTCCACATATTAGCCAATGGTGTGGTTCAGCTGGAGGTTGTCCAGCCGGTTTAGCCCGGATGCATTCATTGAGTTCTTCTTGTTCTGCCCTCTGCTGGTTGCAGTGAAAACATACCAATCATACTCACCTGCATATTTACATAGATATGGATCACAATAAACCACCTGCCTTTGATTTGACATCTTTGCATTTTATTTCAATGGCAGATTATGATTTTTGTATTTTCATTTGCGTATAGAGATTTATGTAATACTATACTGGTACAACATAAGTTATTGATTCAGTTTTAAGTAAATTCTTTAGGTCATTTTAATCATGTAAAAATACTATTAAAAATATTATTAAATGTAAAACAAACAAGCAACATGTTTGCACCAGCTTTTGTGTTGTAAATGTAAATTTAAAATGTAAAATAGCACATACTGTCTTCAGCTATAAACCACACATCTGGTATTATGTGACAGAATCGGCAAATAAAAATATTATGTATGCAGAGCCTTAAACATACTTAGATTTGCGAAAAATAATAGAGAGAGCTACAGTAGTAAAAGGGATTTTGCTTCATTGACTCGAATCATTTTATTTAGTTCAACAAAAAGATTCAGTTGGGAACGCTTTCTATACATCAATGCACCAGTAGGTGGCGACTAGCCTTTTTTTCACATTTTATAGTGGTGCAAAGTATAATGTAAATAAAAGTATAATCTATCAAGACTTATTTTACCTTCACTTTTAAAGAGTTGAGAAAATTAGAAATGACTCTTGCAATCGACTCCGTGGATCGGAGTCATTATAACAGATCTAGATTTCATTAAATGAGCATG